CTTCATGAGCATAGCTCTTCATGATCATAGCTACTTCATGGGCTCCATGAAATAGCCAGCGACGTTCAGAATCATTTTCAAGGTCCTCGTGTTTCTCTACAAAGTCCTTCATGGTTTTGCTCATTCCTACATTTCCGACTTCAGCTTCCAGGTCCCTCTAGTCAGCTGATCATATGCTTCTAACTGCCATGTGCTCCAGATTTAATCTCAGAGACTTCTCTGTGATTGCCCACAGTCAAATCTGCTCCATTCAGTCTTTAAAAACTTAAAACTTATTTTTACACACTGGCATTTGGGTCTGATTGCTCATTGTGTTTCCTGTGCCTTTTTCACTCATGGTTAGATCTATTTACTTATTCCCCTATTCCCTCCTTTTTTATTTCCTGACTTTTATTAGACGCTTTGATCAACCTGAGTTTTTTAAATGTTTTTTTTTAATGTGCTTTGTAAATACATTTGAGCTTTAGTTTACTCGATTAAACAGCTATTTTCAATTAATCATAGTAATCACAATTACATTATGTGTCATGATCACGAGAGAAAGATTTGGGAGAGCTACTCCATATTTAAATCAGTTTTGTTTATATCCCTTTGCTCTGTTTGCAGAGTATCAATGAGTCCACAGCTACAGTTAGTAAAGTCAGACACTTCATCAGTATGATAACTCTGTCAGCACTTATCAAATCACATCAATCATATTTTCACTCTCTTTCCTTCATCAGGTTCTCTTGGTACTCCCTCCATTACAGTCAGATCGTCTTTCATTAACAAAAGCTGTTCCGCAGTCACAGTGGAGTGCTCAGTGCACAACAGCCAAGACCTGGTCCTGTCCTGGTACAGACAGGAGGGAAGATTGACAAATGTTAGCAGTCCTGATCTGTCCTCCAATCTGTATCTCACTCTGGAAATAGAATCCCATGACAGAGGCAGTTACAGCTGTGTAGCTGAAAACCCTGTTGAAAAAAAGGTGACCAAACTATCAGGAGAAGACACAACTATTAAGATGGGGTCTGGAGGTAAGATGGTGATAAATCCTTTTCACCTTTATTAAACTAGAACTATTATGTTTTTGTTTATCACAGTCTTATGATTAAAGAATATCTAAGCCCAAAGCTCTTCTCTCCCCCCCCCCCAAGAGTCCAGGAGCTGGTGTCAGACTGAATCTACAGTAAGACTGGTCATCTCTACTGTCTTTGGCATGGCCTTGATTATTCTTGTTGTGGACCACATCAGACTCCGAAGATGAACCACATGTGCACCAAAATTTTTCTCAAGCTTCACAAAATGCAGTGTGTCAACACATCTGCTTTAGAGCTACACAGGACATGGGACATAATTCTTTTCAAAAGTCCTTCAAAATTTGATTTTGGATCTCAACCAGAAATATCATAAGGTAAAGTGAATAATACACAGAAACCCCAATAATCAAATGGCCCCCTGTGAGCAATCACTTTGCAACACTGGGATGGAAAATCTCCCTTTTAACAGGAAGAAACTTCCAGAAGAAAAGGGCTCGGGGAGGGGCGGCCATTCTGCTGCAAACACCTTAAAAGAAACCCAAGGATGCTTTACAAAAGAACATTAAGAGTAGTTCATTCTTATTTTTTCTCAAAGTGCATATAATACAAATGTCATGGTCCTGGTGTTTTGTTTTTATTAATAGTCTTTGATTGCATTGTTAGTTTCTAGTCTCTGGATGTCTGTCTCTATGCTTCCTCCGTGTTCTTTGTTTCATGTCTGAGCTACTCATGTTTCATATCTATGCTTCTCCTGGTTTTAGTGTCAAGTCCGTGTCTCTGTGCCAGTCTCATGCTGTGTGCTCAGTGTTTTCAGTTTTGCTTGAAAGTTTGTCAATTCAATTCAATTCAATT